CCGGGCCAGGGTCGACACCGCACGGGCCCCGCCGGGACCAGGGGCGGCCAGAGGCGCCGTCGCCGGCCTTGGCGGGTCAGCGCCGGGGCTCTGTAAGTTTCCCTCCGCGTCTGCCCGGGGTCGGTTCCGGACAGGGCCGTCGAGATCCTGCCAGTGCCCCTTTCGGCGTCGGTGAAACGACGGGGACCTGGGCTCGGGACACGCTGGGCCGTGCCAGCCCGAAGCCCCCAGCCCCTTAGGAATCGCCGGGACTTGCAGCCACCGGGTATTACGCGCCAATGTCTTTCTAAATTGGGCGCTTCCCCAGGGGGCAATTTAAGCAGCCTGGAGCACGCTTCTGCGCTTGTTGGATGCTCTGGAAAGCCTCAGCTTTTCAGGGCCCACCTTGACGTAGTTTGACTTTGATGGGCTGTAAGGTGATTTCAGTAAGTCACGTCGGCCCCCTGTTCATTTTGCGTTAAGGACCTCAAAGTTCTCATCTTCTCCACTGTTATCCACATTTGTTTTGAAAGACGTGTCTTTAGCGTCACCCCTGGCTTTTGTTTTTGTTGGTTTGTATTTTAATTGAAGAATTTCGTCACAGGTCACACGCCAGCGAACTCGTGTTCTGATTCATTATTGCTTTTCTCTCCTCTTCCTCCCTGCCCATTTTCAAAGTTTGGGTCACTAAGAGCCAACTTAAACAGCTGAAGTAGCACTTGACATACACTGCCTTGAGTTTGTAGTTACCTTTCTGTGTTTTATCCATCCAAGCTGAGAAAAGGAACTTGGCTTACTTGTTCCCCAATACCTAATGTAATGCTTTGCATGGATACCGAAGCTGCAGGTTAAAATGTTAGGTTATTGGTAACGTGAAGATCAGTTGAATGGCTCCACAATTTTTGTCTGGGTTTTTCTAGCACTTTTATTAAGTCAGAAAAAGCTAAATACACATCAATGCTCTGTTTCTTTGGTGAGTGGTATTTCGGTGCAAATGGGATTGAATAAAAGGGCCAGAAATCCAGTGTTGACAAAGTCAATCTGAATTAAAATATCCATAAATTCTAAGAATTTGCCCCTAGAAATAACTTCCTTGTTTGTCATGTTTGTTCAGTGAGCCCAGTGTGTTGTTTAAAATAAATAAGTACTGGGTGCCTGTCATGACAAGACATAGTAGTAAGGAAGGCAAGCATGCAAAGGACCTCATGGCCCCTTCTGGACGAGAGTCCTACATCTCTTCCTTGGATTATTGCGATAGCCCCCTAAACGGTCTCCCTATTTTTTGGTTTTTTGAGTCAGAGTCTCACTCTGTCACCCAGGTTGGATCACAGCTCACCACAGCCTCAACCTCTTGGACTCAGGCAATGTTTTCACCTCAGCCTCTCAAGCAGCTGGGAATACATGCGCATGCACGCCACAATGACTGGCTAATTTTTTGATATTTTGTAGGGACGAGAACTCACTATGTTGCCCAGGCTGATCTCAAACTCCTGGGCTGAAGCGGTCCTCCCGCCTTGGCCTCACAAAATGCTGGGATTACGTAGGCATAAACCACGGCGCCCGGCTCGGTCTCCCTGTTTTTGTCCTTGCCTCCTGCAGTCTGTTCTAAACACAGCTGCCAGAGAGGACATGACAAAAAATAATTCAGACGATGTTAATCCTCTACTAAAACCTTTCACTAACTTACTCATCCTTTGAGCAAAGATTCAGTTCTTACAGGAGAACGTCATGATCTGCCCCTAATCCCCACACACCATGGCTTCATTTCCTATTTTCCTAGATTTTTCTGCAGCAATCGCACTGACCTTGCTATTCTCACAGCATGCCTGTCACATGCCCACCTCAGAGCTTTTACACTTGATGCGTCTTTGCCTTTTTCAAGTCTACTCAAATATCAGTTCTCAGTGAGACCCTTGCTGACCACATTTAAAGCTGTAAACACCTTTCTGAAACACACACAAACACACACCCTATCACTCTTCCTTGCTTTATTTTTTCTCTAATATCTAGCATATTCTAATGCTATATAATTTACATTTGGATCTTATGTTACTTCCCCATCAGACGGTAAGCTTCATGAGGGCAGGAGTTT